CTGTTAACATGTGAAATGTCAGCATCATGTAAATGTTAACATGTGAAATGTCAACATCATGTAACTGTTAACATGGTTGCTGTTAATTTTATAGATATCAGTATGGTATTTTAATGACTTGAAACCTAGGAACATCTGAAATATAAATTTATCTCAATGTATATTATATTAAAAATTATTTATAAAAGAGAGATCGAGAGAAAGAAAGTACATTAACCACTTAAATAGAAATGTCCTTGTAAGTTACAATATTTGGAGAGAAAAAAAACTACAGATAACTCATGACCAATAAATATAATAAAAAAATTGTTGGTATCGTCAGGTAATAAAACCACCATACTTTATATATATGTCCTCTAATTTGAGATATGAATACTACAAATCCCTAGTGAAAGACAAGGTTAAGTTTAATATGAATACATGTTAAATTTACATATGTATAACATTCTCATACCCCACGACAAATGATCCTAATTACAGGAACAAGGACAAAAACTTTGGCAGTTCTGTAAAATAATTCATTTACAATGATCAATGTGGTGCACATTTGTACAGTAAGATACAACGATAGTTTACCTTTACCATATACGGTCATCCTATTGATACAACACCATATATGGTCATCCTGATGATATAACACCATATATGGTCATCCTGATGATATAACACCATATATGGTCATCCTATTGATACAACACCATACATGGTCATCCTTGATACAACACCATATATGGTCACCCTGATGATATAACACCATATATGGTAATCCTGATGATATAACACCATATATGGTCATCCTGATGATATAACACCATATATGGTCATCCTTAGTGTATAAACAACACTTTAATAATGATTATGTTCTTAAAACTAAGTATCACCACACTGATGCTTCCAACAAGCCAGTACCTGTATAACAAGTACAGAAAAAATTGTGACAATATCTATATATAACTTACATGATATTACTTTAGATTATGTAATATGTGTGAACCTAATTCCCCAAACTAACCATTCCATTCTTTGCTTACTTGTGAGGATATCAATTTGCATTTCACTCGACATGTCTTATGTCATAGATCCTGGGCTCGTATTCGTGAAACTGTTCCCATGCTCAAGCACAGATTTTGTGCTCAAACCTACTTTCTTGTAACTCACTTAAATCATGTCAAACGATCAAAAAGTCAAATGTAAACATTGAAAACAGTATTTGGCTTTAAGACTCTTCAATTTTTCCTCCATATCATTAACAGAATAAGATTTTATTATTAATTAATTAATGAAACAAGAAATGAGACATGAGCACAAAATTTGCGCTTGAGCATGAGAACGTCTTTCATGAATACAGACTCTGGACTTCGTGGTTGATGCTCCATGCAAATTGACCTGAAGAAAGTTATCACACAAAGTGCAATAAATCTACTCTGTAACATGACATTAAAATCAAGGCCGAATAAATGAAACATGTGACAAACAATATGATGAAGACTCGGACAAGATGTGGCACACTTTATGATCACGCCTTTATACACCATCAGGCTTTGTCGACCCACCTCTGTACACGGTGAATCTATGTTAGTCAGCTATTATTGTTTCTCACCCATTCAAATTGAAGAAACAAGAGTTGCCCCCTGTTTTTAAGTACAGGTTTTCCAAAAATATGGTCCAGAAAGGGAGATTTCTTGATGACCCAGGCCCAGATCAACAAAAATCAACAAAATTCCACTGTGTAGGCATTAATTACATTTGCGATTCTTCCTGTGAAAAATTGAATTTGTAAAAATTATTTCACAGTTGTGAAAAATGAATTGATTACTGGTGTATATATATATGTGTATCATATATTGTAAAATGAAAGCTATTCATGAATGAACACAAAAAACATATGGCTATAACACTGAGAGTGATGACAAGTAAAACTGGTGGACCACTAGTATACCAGGGACATAGTGCAAGGTATATGCCATTTGAGCTTGGTATTATTCTGCAAAGCACTTCCATTTGGTGGGATCTAACTTTCGCAACTTTTAACTTAAACAATTGTCTGAGGTTTAAATTAGGGAAGACCTACTCATAGTCTGGGACACCGACTCTCTATTAGAACTTATAGAGTCTGAACCAACTTTCTATCACAAGTGAAATCTTATATAAATAACTATCAGGAGTTTTTAGTCTGATCTACTCCCTATCAGAAGTAATAGCTAGGGTCTGAACTAACAACGTTCTATCACAAGTGAAATCTTAACTATCAGCAGTTTTAGTCTGATCTACTCTCTATCAGAAGTAATAGCTAGGGTCTGAACTAACAACTTTCTACCACAAGTGAAATCTTATATAAATAACTATCAGGAGTTTTAGTCTGATCCACTCTCTATCAGAAGTAATAGCTAGGGTCTGAACTAACAACTTTCTATCACAAGTGAAATCTTAACTATCAGCAGTTTTAGTCTGATCTACTCTCTATCAGACGGAACAGCTAGGGTCTGAGGAGCAGTTATTTACAGAAAACATTCTTAGGCAAAAAGTGTTGTTGAAAAGAGTCTTGAAGCCCCGCACCGAGCGGTGACTATTCGGACAAATAGATTAAGTTCCTACTAACCTGTGACACTTAACTCATTCACCCCTGAAATTTCATAATGAACTATTCCAACCTTTGAATTGGAAGAGTTCAAATGTGTTTTCAGGGGTGAATGAGTTAAGCTTGTTGTGACTGGTTCTTCCCCTTTTTACAGATAATATCTGATTATTTTTTTAAGCCATGAATAAGTCGAAAGCCAAACCGCCGTCCAATTGTAAGCACAATACATTACAAACATGATATCGTAAGAAATATGTATAAACGAACAACTAAATGCATCTTTATACACAAATTGAACAATATTATTAATGGACAATGAAATCTTGTAAGAGCAAGTCTCACCTTTATTTGATTGTTGATATCAAAAATGCAAATGCTGTTGTGATATAGCTATATTGTCAACTGTAATATTCCTGCCCTGCTAAACAATTGTTTTAAGATTGTATTCCTTGAGTTTATCTTACAAACTGTGAGCGAAGTTTTATTTTTGTAATTCATTCTAAGACAAAAAAAAATGTTTGTTTTGAGCACATTTTTTTTTTACAAAATACATTGTATACTAAGTGGAAAAGTCATCTCACCATATTTATATATATATATCTTTTAAATATCTATATCATTAAGGTGTCTATGAATGAAGAAAAAAACATGCAAAACTTTGATTTGTAGACAAAATTGAAAATGCCATATTTGCAAAATTTCTTTTGTAGATGAAAGACATAAAAATAAATAAGGGAATGGTCAACTTGAAACAAGACATCGCAGGTCGACTGTTTCATTATTAATGCTATTGAATATAGTTACGGGTAAATCACCTGTCTTATACAACACTGTACAATGTGTTACCATGCTGACAGGGTCGATACATGTACTACACGATGTCATTTCCTGTCCAACATATCAGCAAGATTCGTTCATCTTACAACTGTCATCATATTTGTCACACTAACTAATTTCTCGATGATTTAATTCTATCCTCTGGCTAATTCCATCTTGATCGCACTCATCCTGAAATGCTTTGCCAAATGGAAACTGTCTTTTCACTCCAACACATGATCAGGCTTACTTGTGACTTTTTACAATCGCAATAACATTTAAGGCATCAAAACTTTTGAAAAATTATGCTTCAATATATTTCCACTTCTTTGATTAGAAGAAATCCATTTCTGTTTGTACAGGTTCAAGAGCTTATAACAGAATCATGACAGTGAGCTAAATCTCGTATCACCAAGTAGTAGGTGTTGATAAGAATTTAATCCAACAAAAGATATATTCACTTCAAGGTTGCTTCAAGGTTATTCCTTGTTGTAGAAAGCATAATCGGTCACTCAGTGTTGTTAGTGGAAACATCTCACTTCACAGTCTAACTACAGTCCAAGGGAGATCACTCTACTTGATAATTGCACTCCAGGAAAAAATACCAAATTTCACCAGTACGAGTTCCATTGACAGGTGATAATTTCAAATCAGGTCGGTATCTATAAATCATTTAAATATGTTTTTATATTCCAGTAAGACAAACTCCACGATCTGGCTCTGCAGCACCATGTGAGCCATGAAGTTGGTGTCCATCTCCTTCCACATCAAAGTTGGCCCATACACTATAGCTAGGTTGTGGAACGACATCTTGTTGACACTTTGCCTGTCTGCAACTCTGCAAAGTAAAATGTTTCATGATAATTTATCACAATTGTTTAATGTCGACAACAAATTATAAATGGGAGATCATAATGCCAAACAAACATGTAATTATTCCAATACACAAAGGGCAATAACTCTGAAAATATTACAGAATTCAATATATATGAGACTCATCAACAACTATAATGCTAGTAAACCTTACCAATTAAAGAAGTGGTTTTCAAAAGCAGTTAACTGACTTGAGTGTCTTACAGTAACAGGACAGACCTACCTCAGTAAATGGGCACACAGAAACTTTGTCTAACAGAAACTGGACAGACCTACCTCAGTTAATGGGCACACAGAAACTTTGTCTCACAGTAACTGGACAGACCTACCTCAGTAAATGGGCACACAGAAACTTTGTCTCACAGTAACTGGACAGACCTACCTCAGTAAATGGGCACACAGAAACTTTGTCT